CCCCAAAACCCCAAAACCCCAAAACCCCAAAACCCCAAAACCCCAAAACCCCGTATAAAATAGATAGTATTGAACAGGGATAATTAAATAAAATGGCCTTTGGAAGACATTTTAAAGCACTTCTATGGAAGAATACTCTTTTGTGGAGGAGAAAGTTATGAGGAAGCTTGTGAGAACTGATATTTCCAGTACTTATGGTAGGAGCTATTGTGGGAATCAGACAAGCTGTCTCTGACAAACAGTATGAGGAAGGAAACAGGCTTAAAAATGGTGTTGCTTATACTATACCAGATAGTCTTACTTCCAATAACTTGGGTGAGGGAAACGAATTTTACAGTTTGATCAAAGAAGAAATCTTTGGAGGAGACCAGATTATTCCCTTTCCAATCAACCCGATCGGGGGAGAGTTCTATACAATCGTTGGCAAAGACCCAGATGAAGTTAAACTAATGAATGACTCCCTCAAACTTTTATTAGAACCTATCTCTAAGCTCATAGGAAGGAACTTCATTTTCAAGAAAGGCATTACTAATGAAGAGGAGCTATTTGACCTGATCAGGAGTAATAACTACTCTCAAGGAGAGAAAACAGAGCGTATGTTGTTTGCGATTGGGCTTCCAACAGATCGGCAAAATAATCCGTATGACTACACTATCTATATGTCAGAAAATTTCCCTTCCAATGTACCAGAGACTAGGTCAATGAAGATAACGAATATTCCTGGAACGGAGAACTTTATGAAGTATTCTTCTCTAGGTTTCATGACTCTACAATCTTTTATTGCTAACTTCATACTCAAAACAGAATTGGAAGATTTTAGCCCATCAATAGACCTGTTCATGTCTATGGGATATATCAATGAGTTTACACAGGATGATTTTCTGGAAAATTTTGGACCAACACTAGCTTTGTTCATGCTAATGATATTCATAGCCCCTCTGTTTAGACTCGTCTCGTTCCTTACAGAGGAGAAAGCATCTAGAGCTAGGGAGGGAATGAAGATAATGGGCCTAAACGACGCTCCTTATTGGCTTTCATGGTTCGTTTACTATTTTTCCGTAAATCTAGTAATTTCTTTGGTCACTGGACTTTCCTTCGCATTCGTATTATTCCCAAATTCATCTGTATTTTTCGTGCTACTATGGGTCTTTTTATATGGACTTTCTCTGTTCTCCTTTGCTGTATTGGTATCTTCGTTCTTACAGAGACCCCTGATTGCATGAATTATTGTTACAATGTTTCATTTCTTGACATACTTCTTGGTGATTCCATTGGAGCAACCAGGAGTGAGTGACCAGATCAGAACAATGTTTTCAGTCATTCCTAATGTAGCAATGTCTCTTTCAGCAGGAGCTATCGGAAAATTGGAGCTTACCAAAGATGGACTGACTGGTTCAACCTTGTTTGATAATACAGGAGGCTTTAAAGTCGGCATCGCACTAATCTCACTAGCAGGAAACTTCATTATTCAGCTTCTTCTTGGTCTCTATCTTGATAATGTCTTGCCTAAACAGTATGGTACCAGACAGCATCCATGCTTTATGTTTAAGAAGTCTTATTGGTTTGGAACTAGGTATCAAGACGCTAACGATCTCAGAAAAAGTCTTCTCGATGAAGATGATCAGGAACTCAATGGAGAAAATAAAGATTTTGAAGCAGTTCCCCCAAATGTTAGAAAGCTAGAGAAAACAGGTGAATGTATGAAAGTTAGACATCTTAAGAAGATCTATGGAAATGGAAAAGTAGCTGTCAATGATCTCTCTCTTACTATGTACAAAAACCAGATCTTCGCTCTCCTCGGGCATAATGGAGCTGGAAAGACTACTACCTTATCTATCCTGACTGGATTATATCAACCTACTGCCGGTAAAGCTTCGGTTTTCAATTTGGATATGTTCGAACAAGTGAATGAAATTAGAAAGAATTTGGGTGTGTGCCCACAGTTTGATATCTTATTTGACATGTTGACTCCTGAAGAGCATCTCATTATTTACTGAATGTTCAAGGGAGTTCCTGTTAGTGAAGTCGATGATCAAGTGGAGAAAACTCTTCGAGATATAGATCTTGAATCAAAGCGCAAAGCATATGCTAAAAATTTATCAGGAGGACAAAAAAGAAAGCTTTCAGTTGGAATAGCAATGATTGGTGGCTCTAAACTAGTCCTACTTGATGAGCCTACCAGTGGAATGGATTTGACTGCAAGAAGAAAGATATGGGATATGCTCAAGAACAATAAACAGGACCGGATCTTAATTCTTACAACTCATTTTATGGATGAAGCTGATATCCTTGGTGACAGGATAGCCATAATGGCTTCAGGAAGGATCAAGTGTTGTGGCCAGTCTCTCTTCCTCAAGAAACGTTTTGGAGTCGGCTATAACCTCATTATATCCAAGGAGGATAAAGATCCTAACCCTGAAATAGAAGAATTCGTGTTTGAGAGAATTAATTATTGTATAAAATTATCAGAAGTTTCTTCAGAAGTAACGTTTCAAATTCCTCAAAGTGAATCTGAGAAATTTGAGCAATTCTTTACAGAGCTAGATGAAAGCTTGAAACAACTCAGGATCAAGAGCTACGGAGTTGGAGTGACAACTCTAGAAGAAGTCTTTCTTAAGGTAGGACATCAAGATGAAGAAGGAAATGGGTCACCACCAGATTCTCCTAAAATAGAGGAAACAAAGGAAGATAATTCTCAAGAAGCAAATGAAATAGTTAGAATTAATGATTCTCAAAGAAGTGATAATGATGATTACTCGATTGCAGAACAATCAGAGAAAAACGTATTCTTTTTGCACCTATATGCATTGTGTGTTAAGAGATTCTTGATGTCTTTCAGACAACTCAAATCATCTTTGCTAGAAATCTTCATCCCAATGATTTTCATACTTACAGGTCTTGGCTTAGCCAACATTGATTTCTTCGTAGATGCCTTGGCTGTAAATTTAAGTATGACTCAGTTCCCTGAAAATAACAATCTGTTCATTGGTACTACGCAAAATGGGGTTGACTCACAAACCTTTGCAAATTCTTTTGATCAAGATATCTTTGATATCAATGTAATTAACACACCTCCTGGAGATAATTTGTATTCAACTCTGGATAACTTTGAGACTACTATTTTTAGAGATAACAATGGATACGATGGAGACGTCCAGAATGCAGGCAACTTCGTGCTACATAATCTAGATACCACTCCTGGAGCTCAAAAATGTCAAGTCTTTGGATTTTCTAATGGCTTTGCTCGAGATGGAGCTCCCATTATGACACAAAATGTGCTGAATTCTTGCCTAAGAATACTTCTGAATAAGCCAAATATGCAATTGAGGTTTGTAAATCAGCCCTTCCCTCTCACTGCTAGAGCTAAAGCTGGATCCCAAGCTGGAAGTGGATCTATTATTGGATTTTTGTTTGCTATAGCATTTGCAATGATCCCTACTGGAGTTGCTTACTCAGTTGTTCACGAAAGAGAAACTAATGTAAAACATCAACAAATGATATCAGGTGCATCTATCATTCCATATTGGATCAGCAATTATTTAGTTGACTTTACCAGAAGCATGATTCCTATGGGCTTTGCTATAATCATGGTGTTTGTTTTCAGCGTCGACTTGCCTTTTATCTGGCTACATTTTGTCCTATTTGCTTTAGCTATACATCCATTTACTTATGCCACAACATTTATTTTCAAGAAGCAAAATCTTGCTCAAACTATGACCATTATCATAAATATTTTCTTGGGAGGGTTCATTCCAATAACTATAATCGTGTTGCAGTCTATTCAGAGCACTAGATCTGTTGGTCAAGCACTTAGATGGGTTCCTAAAATTTTCCCTTCCTTCTCTGTAGTCAACGGAATCTTGCAGATCTCTATTAGAAACATCATTGCGTTTGCAGCAGGGCTTGACGCCCCTGATGACTCGCTAAGCTTTGATGTTGCAGGCGGAGATGCTGTCTTTTTAGCCTTCAACATATTCTTCTGGTGGGGTGTGGTCATCCTTCTTGAAACAGGCTTTCTTGGCAAATTATTCTCATGCAGGAGATCTTGGACTCTTATCAAGGAAACCACTGATGAGCCTGAGGCAGAAATTGACTCTGATGTCAGAGAGGAGGAATACAGATGTGCTGACATTAATCCAAATGACTGCTCTGTGCTGGTCAACCAACTTAGAAAGGAATTCAAAGTCAATGGCGAGCAGCTGGTTGCAGTCAAGAACATTTGATTTGGACTTGAGTATGGAGAATGATTCGCATTGCTCGGAGTTAATGGCGCTGGAAAATCAACTACATTCAAGAGCATGACTGGTGACATCGTTCCTACCTCTGGAAAGATCTACATTGATGGACTCGACCTCTCCTCCGCTTACGAGTTTTCCCAAGCAAGGAAGTTGATTGGGTATTGTCCTCAAGAGAATGCTATCTTTGAGGGAATGACTGTTTATGAGCATTTGGTCTTCTACGCCAGGATTAAAGGAATTGTCTCTCATAAAAGAAATGATATTATTAACAACACAATGAAGGAGATGGACCTTGAGCAGTTCAAAAATGTCAGATGTGAGAAACTTTCTGGTGGGAACAAACGTAAACTCTCAGTTGCGATGGCTATTATTGGAAATCCTCCAATTGTGTTCCTTGATGAACCTTCAACTGGAATGGACCCAAGAGCTAAGAGATTCATGTGGACTATTATTTCAAGAATTTCTACACTGAGGAAGAAGAGCACAGTAATTCTAACCACTCATTCTATGGAAGAAGCTGAAGCTTTATGTACAAAGATGGGTATCATGGTAAGTGGAAGGTTCAAATGCCTCGGATCTTCCCAAGAAATCAAAAATAAATATGGAACTGGGTATGAAGTTGAAATTAAGATTCAATGGCCGACTGAGGAAGAAGCTGCTACTTTTGCTAGAAATAATGATCTAAACCCAGAAGATAGTATTGGAATAGAGCAACTTCAAGACACATTAATAAAACTAAAAGTAGGCACAATTCTTGAAGAACCCCAAATTACAATCCTCGAAAACGAAATAGAGAAAAATGGTGAACTTACAATTGAATCTTTATGCCAGCTAATCCTGCTTGAGAAAGGAGGTCTCACTATCAAGAAAGCTTTGAAGAAGAACACCTCCAAATGCCAATTAATAGAACATTATAATAACTTCTTTAAGTTCAGAGTTGAAAGAGGCCAGAAGAGTTTAGGCTTCTTCTTCGGATTCATGGAGAGCCTTAAGAGTCAAGTCAACTTTGAAGAATATGGTGTCAGTCAGACTACCCTTGAACAAATCTTTAATGCCTTCGCTAAAGGTCAAGAAGTGGAAGGGGCTAGTAAAAACAAGGGAAGAAAGAGTCTTACTAAGGATATCCAATAAAAAAAAGATATTTCAGTTGCTATCCTTTACTCTGGGGTTTTGGGGTTTTGGGGTTTTGGGG